CTGGGCTGGCTGCGTTCATTTCATTGGGAAATACTGGGAAAGCACTGCAGCTGCTTCAATTCCACTTGCAACACCCAGCTCGTGGCAGCCTCACACAGCTCCCAGCACATTCCCAGTCCTGGTGCAGCACAAGGACTGAGGCCACAGCAGCCATGGGGCTCAGGGCCCCACTGGATCTCGTCTAGCTGAGTGAACACAGCCAATCTGATTAAATGAAGATAAGGGGGTGAAACTAGCAAGTCACAGCTTTGCCCAGAAGTAGCAAAGATGAACCTGAGGATCTAGTCCAGAAGAACTCAAAAGGTTGAAATTCTTGCTCTGTCTCTAATACTCATTGTCTTCAGTGTCACTGGTGTGTCATCTCCCAATATCCCTGCAGCACATGTGTCCCTGAGCATCACCTTTGGGCTGCAGATTCCCAGCCAGGTGCTTCCTGCAAATAGCACGGAGATGGCAGTGGCCAGGTGGGATGTCCCCATCCCTGACTCCCTGCCATCATTCTGCCTGTCCCCTCTGCAGCTCCTCCCTGAAAAGGGATTTCAGAGGGGATGTCTGGGGACAGCTCAAAGACCTGTACAAAAAGCAGACCTGTACAAATTTCCTTGGCACACCCTGCATGGCTTGGCAGAGAAGGATGCCCAGTGAGCCTGCACACCCCGTGAATTTGTGGACAGATCTACAAGTAAATGGGACAGAGCCAACCCTTGGAGGCTCTTTGACAACAGGCAGGGGTGACTGTGAAGTTCTTGGTTTGTTGCAGCTCTGGGGCAGGGCTCACGTTGGCCCCAGCACAGGACATCCTCAGAGCAGAGCAGATGCTTTTCACAGCCAAGGAGCAGGTCTGCCATAGGGAGACAAGGACGGGACACAAGCAGAGGAACCTTGGGTACTGGGGAAATGGAAGGAGGAATAACAGCATGGGATACGCCAAAGCCAAGGGTCTTCAGACAGCAAAAGAGAAGGTGGGGGAAGGAGGACACTTGGGAGTTACACATAGCCAATAAATGGGGTGAAAGGAAGCCCTGGGCTGTGCCCTCTAGGACAGCATGGATACCAGGGGATGGCCAGGACTGGGAAATACCTTGGGGCAGGAAGGCTCAGAGTCCTCCTTGGCCACCAGCCACTTTCCACATCCTCTCTGCTCTCGAGACCATAACAGGCCTCAGGAGAGCAGTGTTGGTGGAGAGAACACCAAAAAACACCTCGAAGCTTTGCTTGGAATCCAAAGTCCCTCTCACACCCGTGCAGCCCCAGGAGCAGCCCTTGGCCGCACTTGGCTGCTGCGGCTCTGCCCACTGCTGCTGCTGGGCCAGGACCTGGGATGGAGCTGATGTGCCTGTGTGCAGGTGAGCCTTGCTGGAGCTCCACCTGGCATCACAGCCCAGAGCACTCTGCTGCTGGCACAGCCCTGGAGCGTGCTCTGCACAGCTAATGACTTGAGCTAATCATTTGGCCTGGGCTCAAGACTTCCTTGGCTGCTCTTGTTTTCTGTCTCGCCCGGCTGCTCTCTGCCGTCACTGGAGCCTTTCTGCTCCAGAGGGGCCGAGCTATCCCAACTCTTTGCTCAGCTTTGCTTCCTTCCCTGCAGACTGATTCTATGTCTAGGTGGGCTTTTATACATGCCTTGCCCACCTCCTACCCCAGCACATACTTCATCAGCACGGCCTTATCTTTGCGCAAAGCATCAGGCTGGTCCTGCCCAGGGGTACAGCTCTGTGAGTTCCTTTCTGCTGCTTCACTGCTGCACCACCTTAGACCTCCTTCTTCACATCTCTTGTCCCAGCTGGGATCCATGGATTCAGATCCTTTGTGAAGAAGGAATTTTGGTGCCTGCTGAGTGCTGCAGGTTGCAGCTCATTACTTCTCACAGGGAATCTGCTTGGAGGTGTTTTCCTGGTGCCATGTCACTGTAGCAGCACTGTGACCACCTGTTTCACACCTGCCTCGAGAAGCTCCCAGTAACCCTGCCACCTTGTCTGCCTGGAGAGCAGCATTCAGCAATAAATCTGGAAGGAGAGTGCAAACACCTGTGTGTGTGCAGGCACGGGCACAGGTGGGTTTCATTTGTGCATCTGTGCCCATGTTCACGTGTGCTTCCTGAGCAAGGGATAAGCCCTCATGTCCTTCCAGACCCTGGTTTTTGGTAAGTTTTAGGGCAAATCAGAACAGCAACACTGATATATCTTTTTTACCTGTTTTAGCCTAATGCCCTCCTGGCATTTAAAGGGAAAAATCCCTCCTGTGTGGTGTATTCTTCCACAGCCACAGAGACACCAGGGCACATTTCACATGCTGGCTCACTCCTACCATATTCTCATGCTTAGCCGTTTGTGGTTTCAGATGTATCTGTCTAGACCTCATTTCTTGGGAATTTTTGCAACCATTTCACAATCCCCTGACATCACAACCAGCACAAGGAGTTCATCAGAGGCAGGGCCCCTGGATGCACTGTGTCCTCATCAAACACAGGGCTGCCTCCACCCCTCTCATGGCACCCCCATCTGACTCCTTGTGTGCAGGTATCAGTTCCCAGGCTCCCAGCAAAGCCCAGTCCAGAGTATAGCCTCATTCATAACCTGTTTTATTGCTGTTATCCCAAAGCAGCAAGGAACACAGAGCCCCTGCTTTGAGCAAGCAGTGCACACCCAGGATGGAGTTAGAGGGACCAGCCTGGCTGTGAGAAAAGATGCTGTGTCCAAACCAGTGTTGTGCCCATGTTCTCTGGCACCTCAGAACCCCTCACTAGGGACAGATGAGCAACCAGAATGTCTCCACCTTGCTGGGAAACACAGCTACAAGAGAGGGGACTTGCACTGCTCCCCTGTGCCAGCAGCTCCCAGCCCGAGCACCCCAGGGATGCATCACACGGGAGCACTGCAAAAGCCAGGACCTGGGGGATGATGGTGAGTGGGGCAGGAGAACACCCCACCATGCAACCCTTCCCACCCCACCAAAGCCCATCACAACAGCCAGAACAAAAGAATTTGGTTATAAAGAATACATTTTATTGCCACACATCCTGTCCAAAAGCCGGTCTGGCAGACGGCCGGGTGTTCAGCGTGGAGGAGGAGACAGCTCAGCGCCTGTCCCATGCTCAGGGCCAGTCTCTTGGACTTCACAGTTACTTTGCACAGCCTTAAAATGATAAACCTAAATGCCCTATTAATAAAGCAATCAAGCCAGATACATACTTGGTAGAAACACTCAGCTGTAAGCTTTACTCCAACAAACACACTGCCCGTGCTGATACTGTTAAGCTCTGCAAATCCTATTATTGCATTTATATGATTTAATAGACCTTTACTGACCAAAGTCCACGTTCAAAATCTCTGCAAGCAGATAGCAGCGTGGCTGTAGCACAGCAGTTTTATTTGTTCCTTCTCAGCCAGGGAGAGAGGAGAGAGGGTTGCAAGCACAGGGAGATGCCATTTTCCCCCAGCCCCTATCCCAAGGGTCTGTCCCATCTCCACTTGCAGTCTCACCTAAAGGTGTCCTCTACTCAGTGACTTTTCTCACTAAATGTTTGGGATAGAGCTGCTCTCAAATGGCTGCAGGATGTCTACAGTAAAATTTACAAAATCTGCTATTCCCCCACCTTCACAGCCTCACATGTGCTTTTCCCCATGTGGGCTTTTCAGATTTGGTAAATATGTATGAGAGGGTTGCTGGGGCTTTTTTTTTTTCCCCCCAGAAAACTAAGCATTTGTCTTATTAGTGTCTGAAACCCTGACATAAGCAAAGCCAGGGGAAAGAAGAGAGTGAAATTCCACTAAACCGAACAATTTGTTCTGATTTCATTGCAATTTTGTAGCCAGGGGAGCTAAAAGGGTATAATTCCACTAAATTGAACAATTAGTTCTGATTTCACGGAAATGTTGTACCTAAAAAAGAAAATGAAAAAACCAAAGGGACAAATTGTGGCTATCTTTATACAAACTACAGTGCAGCAGTGTACCATAAAACCTGAAAGATTAGAGCAGTCCAGACACGCTGTTACCCCAACACTCTCCATCTCAGCTGCTATTAATTGCTCTGCAAAGAAGCACCCAGCAAGCAGCTCAAGTAGGACCACAGGACTTGGGACCTGCCTGGTTCCCCATGCCTTGCAAGCCAAGAAGGAGCAAAGAGATGAGAGGAAAATAAAATTCAGCCACGGTTTATTTGGTAGAAAAATAAGAGAAATCTTCCAGAAAGTCCGGCCTTCAGCATAAAGGCTACTTTGTGAAGCGTAAGGAGAGAGAAGTAAAGCCTTTCAGGAAAACTGAATGAAGGCACAGTTTTCAAATATAAATACAAATGTATAATATCCCCCAAAAAAAAATCATAGGAAAAGCGTCCGTCCTGCTAGGCTAAATAACTCCCATTGTGTGGGAAGCACGTCCACTTCCCTCTAGAGGCCATGGCTCAGCTCCCACGCCCAGGTCCCCACTTACTTGGCCGTGGGACGAGCGAGGACCTGGGTGCCTGCTTTGCTGAGAGCGCCCAGGCACTGCAGGTGCTGGGGGATCTCTGTGTCAGGCATAGCAGCAACAAAGAGGTGGTGGGGCAGAGGGAATCCTCCTCAGCCTGCCCCATCCCCGCCCTGGGGCTGGCGGGTGGGTGGGTGTGTGGTTTGTGTGCATCCATTGCCATTGCCATTGCCGTGGGTCAGTCACCAGGGGAAGGCGTCCATCCTGACAGAGGCAAGCAGGAGGGTGTGAGATGGAGAGGGGCTCAGCCAGATCATCCACCCCAGCTGGGCCATTCCCTGCTGTGACCTACCCTGCCCATCCCAAGCATTGCCTTATCCCAGCGGATCCAGAAACAAATTTAAATTCAAGGCAAGCACAAGCCAGGAAAGAGTTGTTCCCTAAGTGCCTCTGTGCTCCAGCCATGACTCTGACAGCTCTCCCAGGCTTTGCACCAGGAGCTGAACGCCACCCTCCCACTGAGAAGGATCTAGAATGGGGTGCAGCACCCTCACTCTACTCACCCCCCTCACCTACCTCTTCAGGCCTGACTTAGACCCGCTGCCGCCTCTGCTTCTTGGGTCTCCCCCTGGGACGCTGGGTCTGCCCCTTCTTCCTGTTCTTGTCATTCTTGGCCCTCTTGTCCAGCTGCTGAATCAACTTCAGGACAGTGTCGTCAGTGGGAGAGGCACAGATTTTCCTGTTCCTCTTGGTGATGAGCCTGGGGGAGCAGCAGAAAGATTTTCTGGGGGAGGAGCAGAGGGAGGACAGGGAAGGGTTTGTCTGAAGCCAGACTGTTCCACGTGGTCCTGGCCACCACAGGGTACTCACACAACAGAACGGAGGTAACAGCCCGACTCGGGTCCCTGGTGGCGGTAGGATGTCACCACACCACCGAGGATCTCCTTCTTCAAAGGTCTGTTCTTCAGGCAGCAGTCCAAGGCTGAGCTTCCAATGCCTGTGAGCAAGGAGGGCGTGTGGGATTTGGGATCGCCAGTGAGTCAGGACACCTTCAGCACAGAATGCCAGCTGACAGCACGGGGCTTTTTTGGTGCCATGGGGCTGGTCAGGGTGATCCTGGGCACCACGTGGGGTTGGAAGCTCTGAACCCCAGTGCCCAGGTCAGACCTGGTCCCAGGAATACGAGACACCACATCTGAGAGTGGTGGCGGGGAAACTGATGCAGAGATGAGCACCTTGCAAAGGTACTGAACATCATTCTGCTCTTTTCACCAGGCACATGCACACAGACACACTCCAAGCCAAGCAAGCCCTGCCAGCCAATGCCACAGGCACACACACATACACAGAGCCCTACACACACCTGCACACCCCAGGGCCCTACAAACACCACCCCACACCCTGCGCACACCCCAGTGAGGACCCACACACCCCATCCCAGCAGGAGCAGGCAGGAGGGCTCCCTGCCCCTCACCTTGAGCCTGGGCGATGAGCAGGGCGGCAGCCAGCAGCAGCAGCAGCAGCAGCAGGAAGGGGCGGAGAGCCATGGTGCTGCCAGGGGCGCTGAGCAGGGCAAGGCTTGGAAGGAGGGCAAGGTCTGGGAGTAGGACACGCACTGCTGCCTCGTGCTGAGGCTGCTCCTATTTATCTGTGCATTCCTTGCTTTCGTTTTTGGACAGCTTGGCAGGCAGCCCACCAGCCGGCCAAGGGCTGGGTGATGCACGAGTAGAGGGTGGGGGATTCCTGGAAGCTGCAAGCCCCCCTTTACAGACACGTCCTGTCTTGTTCCCAGCTGCCCATCACAGGGGGGTGCCAGGTAGGGGCCGTGCTGGAGACACAGCTCCCTTCACAGCTGGATGGGTTTGTGGGCTCCAGTTTCCTACACAGTCTCACAACCTGCCACTACCTGCTCTCAGAGGGTCGGGTGTTTATTCCCATGAAATGGATCCTGGAAGGTGGCCAAGCCTTCAAAGAAACCAAGGAGTCAACCTGGTTTGCTCCCCCATTTGGTGATTTGCTTCCAAGCCAACCACCAACACAAATAGTAGGTGAGAAGTGGCTCAGGGTGAGCCCAAACCCCTTCCCCCTGAGCCCCCATCCATGTCTGGCTGCCTTGGGGATGAACCCAACTGAACAAAACTGAATAGAGCTGTAGGGCTGGGATGTGTGAGGGCCAGACTGCAATGGGGCTGAGGAAAACATCACAGCCCATCATATTTTGGTGCTGATATCAAATTGAGGGAAGCTGGGGTGAGTGGGGACCTTGAGTAGCTGAAGGAATGTGCTGACAAGGATGCGAAAACCCACAGCAGCGTGACACGGCCCTGTGCAGCTGGACATAGCTGGACAGATGGGGACCACATACAAGTGAACCCAGAGAGCTGAACAGGACCCCACAGGAAATTCCTGTGGTGACAAAACCCATTCAAGGAGATGGCCTTTGTTAGCGGACCAAGCCCTGAGCAGCTAGCGTGACACCAGTCCTGCTATGGGGAAAGGACAGTCAGACATTTTTCAGGTAATCACCAGAGCACGGTCTGGAAGAGACCAAGGTGGTTTCACAATTGCTTTGGGCCACCTGTTCCAGTGGTTGATACGTCCCCAAGTTGAAAACATTTCCCTCGCTGTTTAATTGGAGTTTCCTGTGATGGGTCTGGTGTTGCTGCCTCTCACCCTGCTCCAGAGCCCCAGCACCACTCCAGCCCCCCTGGACAACCCCAGCAGCAGGAATTCCCCCTCGCCATCCTTCACCACTCACTGCTAACAGCCTCTCTTTGCTGACCTCCAGCTCCTTGGACAGCTCCTGTCCCAGTGCTCATGCCGGCTGTGTCCTGGGAGCCCCAGTGGAATGGGCAGCCCTCATGGGGTCTAACCAAGGGTAGTGGGGATCAAACCCCTTTGAGGGCCCCGCTGCTGGGCTGTAACACCAGGACCTTCCACCAGTTTCTGTCAATGACCCTGTCAAACAGACATCAAGGACCATGAGCAGCCCAGAAGAAGCCCAAAGTCGCAGCTGCTGCAGAAAGCAGAGCTGTGTAAGGTGCCCACTCTCTCGTTCCCCTCAGCAGGGAGAAGGAGTCATGGATCACCAACAACTGCCAGCCAGGAGAGCAGCATTCCTCTGGGACAGTGGGGCAGTGTGCCAGGGCTGCACTCCTGGGGCTTCCTCCATCCCTCATGCATGGAGATCCCGTTCAGGGGTGCCCAGCTGGGGGGAGGCAAACCCCCACACGCTTGTGCAGCACAGAGGCTGCTGTGGAGCCGGGCAGCAGAGCCTGAGGCAGGCAGCAGGTTGGGCAGTAGCAGGTTGTCTGCAGGTGCATCTCCCCGGGGTACTTGGCAGCATGGGGAAGGAGCTCCCAGAGGCATCCTGTGTGCTGTCACCCATCTCCCTAATCCCAGAGTATTGGTGGCATCAGGACAGGGCAGAAAATGAGAGCCATGCTGGTATTAGTGCCTTTCCAGCCCTTTCTTGTGCAACCTCCCCAGACAGCAGTGCCTGGATGCTCGCAAAGGAGCCCAGGGGAGCTCTGCAGTCCCAGCACAGAGCCCAGATTCCTCTCTTGCCCAGTCCCACTAAGGCAGCAAGATCCTGGAAAGTCCCTGGCTCTCTGAGTGTTTTGAAGACACCACAGCAGCAACCTCTGGCCAGAGGCCAGCCCCAAACACGGTCTGAGCTGCTGAGTAGGGTCAGGGCACGTGTTTCCCTTCCCAGAGGCATCAGTCTTTGGCAATTCCCTGTTGCTGTGACTTGCACCTCTAACAAAGCATCTGCATGAGCAGACTCTCACTCTTCACAGGGAAGGTGGCTGGAGAGGTCCCACGAGGGAAAGGGGCACTTGGCAATTGCAGACGCATCTGCACGCTTGAGCAGCAGGGCCCCTTGGAAAGCAGTCTGGGGGTCCGTGCCTTGTCTCCCCTTCTGCCTCCCTTCCCTCAGACCATCCCCCTTCACTCCTGGCTCTTGATGTGCCTTTCTCTGTCACCGGTTCCCCCAGCCCAAGGAGAAAGAAGGAAGCTTCTGGCAATGAGAGATGAGTGAGCATCCCTGTTTGAAGGAATAACCAAACTTTTGAGACACAGAGGAACTGACAGTAGTAGGGGTGGAGACAAGGTTGTTCATGGGTCTCAAACACCAGCAGCCTCCAGCAGCTGGGCAGGCACAATTTCCTGCACATAACCCATTCCTTATTTACCTGGGCTCCTGCAGTGACTCCTTTTTCCATGGCTCATAGGTGCAGGATGGAGGCAGACACGGGGAGGGATGCACAGCCAGGCAGGATGCCCTCTGAGGTGTCTCAGCTACAGAGAGTCCATCTCTGACCACAGGATCTGTGTCTGACACTGTACAGAGCCATTGCAATGAGGTTTTGTGCGATGATGCCTCCAGCTACCCCCGTGCTCGGGCAGCCCGGCTCCAGCCCTTCGCATCCCTGTGGCGGAGGAGCCTCCACAGTGCATGAAGAGGGGAGGGTGTCCTAGGCAGAGACTGTGGTGTCCCCACGCACAGAGTGCACAGAAACAGTGGGACTGTAGCAAAGGTCACTTCACTGCCTTGCTCGTGACCTGCTCCCAGGCAGTAAAACCACCACAGGTCTCTCAAACCTCCATCCCAAATCTTTCCCAAGTTTGCACCCTGCACCAGAGCACCGGAGCTCCAGGACCTGGGATTCATGTGTGGATTACTCCCTCGGTTTCTAGCATCACAGTTTCCTAGCACCTCAACCCATATTGCCAGGAGATCTGTTCTGTTCTCTGCCCATCCACGCCTGGGCTGACCACCAGCACTGTAGAAGCCTCCAGCTCTGTCCCACTTAACCAGACTGCAGGGGCTGCTTCCCAGGCAGCTCCGGGCTGGGAGCAAAGGTTCCTCAAACTCAAGGCATCAAGAGGGGCCAACCAATGGGACTGGGAATTTCCAAATCCTTGCGGATGCTGCCTCCAAGTTACAGTCACTGCTGACAGGAACAGGGTCGCACGGCTCAGTTCAACCCGCTGACCAGCACATTCCTTCCTGCAGAGGCCCCGATTCCCAGGACCCGGCGCAGAGGTACTTTGCAGCGCCCAGCGTGGAAAGCCCCCGTGTCTGGGAAGGGGAGCCGGCTGCCAGGCACAACGTATAGAAATGTCAACGAGCGACACATTCCCTGGGATGCGGGAAATAATTGCTGGAAGCCGGCGGCACACGAGCCGGGCAGGCTGCCTGCTGGCTGCTGCGCTGTCCCCGGCCTTCAGCGAGGCCAGTGGGAAGAGCAGGATCAGCACAACATGCTCAGAAGGGCAAGGAAACAGCTCCCCAGGAGTGCACGGGTGCTGGAGCCAGCTGGGCTGGGAGAGGGTCTTCAGCCTTGAAAAGTTTGCCCCATGTACACTCTTTGTTTCCCCAGACAGAAATTTGATTTCCCAGCCTGGTGTGGGTTAACCTTTGGTTGCAAGCATCACTGCAGAGTGATCCAGGTTTAAGGCAGGATGCTGAAAATGTTCAGGGGCTAAGTGAACAGGATGAGAGGGAGCTGAGCAGATCCTGCAGCCTGGAACAGCGCTCTCTTGGCTCTGCAGAGTGTGCAGTGCTGCACACAGTGCTTGCTCAGGCCCAAAATCAAGGGAATGGGCAAGTTTTGTGTCCCCATGGAAAATGCATGGCCAGCATTGCTCAATTCTCAGCTCCCCTGATCGAGGCACATGTGATCCTTGGACTGTGGCTGTTGTGAGTGTGCACTATGCACAGAACATACAGGAGAGATGGCTCAGAGCCTGTCCCTCTGTGGCATGGTGGAGACACCCATGGGGTGGCCAAGAATTGTGTGGGACAGGGGACAAGGCAGAGAGTGGGAGACATTTCAAGGAAGAGAGGTTTAGCTGTTTGCAGAATCCTCCAAACACAGTGTCCCTCTCAGCTGGCCCTCATCCCTTCCACCAACCACAGGTACAGCCCCACCTCTTCCCTCAATACAGGAAGCACATCAATACTCCACCCAGAAATCCCATGGGTTCTCATATGGCAGCGTAAAACTCGGTGGAAACTACTGGCACCAACCCAGCCTTCAGTGAAAGTGGAGATGGAACGATCAGGAATCCTCTCAGGGCAGGGGGAGCAGCAGCTGCCGAAGCAGGCACAGCATGTGCCAGCCAGGATGGAGCTCTGGGAGGTGGGAGATGGCAGTCTGGGACAGGCTCTGTCTGGGATGGACACGTGTGAGGGCATTGCTCTGGCCTGGGTGTTGGGGAAGATGAAAAAGGAAAGCCTTATAAATATGATTGCCTGGCAAAAGATTTTGAGAATATAGAAACTATAAGCGAGATTGAAATGAAAGCAAGCTTTGAGATACCTTAGTTACTGAACAACTGGAAAACAATGGTGTGGCTGGCTGAAGGCAATCCCCTTTTGATGAAACAACACCCTCTGCTTGCAGGCAGGTCCAAGGGTCAGAGCAGACCCTGCCAGCTTGGCAGAAGGGGTCCAAAGAGGAGTTTTTAGGGTTTAAAATGTAACACAGTATGGTGATGTAATGATTCTTACAGGCTGTATGGAAATGCCATAGGATTT